AATCTAAAAATGTAGATGCACGCAGTTATTTACTGAATGACAGTTATCCTCTGAACATTAAGTAGTATGTTACTTATTTAAACGTTGGCCGAGTGACCTTTGCAATTGCAGGTGCTGGCATTAAAGTGGGTCCAAGCCAACATTGCAAGTTTTGGCGGCGATCCCAACAAAGTGACCATATTTGGCGAGAGCGCGGGGGGAATGAGTGTTTCTCTTCATTTAGTGTCGCCATTGTCCAAAGGTTTGTTCCACAGAGCCATAATGCAGAGCGGTGCAGCGTCCACGCCTCTTTACTGTGGAAAAGTTGTTAAAACAGTGCAGTTAGAGTTGTTTGCCAAACTTACGAACTGTCCCTTGGGACCAAATCATGTAGAATGCGTGCGCGGCAAGACTGCTGAGGAAATTCTCAGGCTGCAAAGGGGTTTGACGCTTCCTTACTACGCAGGCACACAAGATATAGCAGGACCTACAGTTGATGGCTACTTTTTACCAGATCTACCGGAAACTCTGTATAAAACAGGTCAATTCCACCCTGATGTTGATGTTATAACTGGTTTTAGCTCCAACGAAGGCGCCTTGTTTGCAATGATAATGCCACCTGAACTCGTGAAAGATGGAATGGAACCAAACACGTTTAAATCATTTATTAATGGTGGGTTCGTTTATGGTCGAGAGAAGAGCAAGGCCCTCGAAGAATTGATTTTTCTTGAGTACACCAACCATGAAGATCCAAATGACAAAATTGCTGTTCGCCAGTCGATGATGGACAGTGTCGGCCATTCAAATTTTGTTGCACCCACCTTGCTCGAGGCCAACGCTTTGGCAAAGGTAAAAAATACAACCGACATATAAAATAAACCGCGTGTTCAGTTCTCGTCCCCTGTTCGTTGATTTTTCTAACATGAATTTATCTGGCTTCGGGCCAACTATGGCATCAGAGCAACTGTTGGAATTCATGTTCACACCGCTCCTTCATAGTTGCTTTAGCACAAATGGCTTCCTGAGCTGGTTTACAGATGTTAATCTTTATTATTTCGTGGCGTACCTGGAAACTAGCTTACACTGACCACGTTAATAAAACGATTGATTGATTGATTGAATGCTATAACGATTGGGTTATCCATTGTTTGGCCCAGCCTAAAATCACTTTAGTTAGCAGAGATATCGCTCAGGAAATACTAGGAGATAATCATGATGTCTATTTTCCTTTCAATGTTAAACAGGGAGGACGACCACCTTATGTATATGTGTTCGATCACAGACCAGTCTATTCACGCATACCTGACTGGACGGGCGTGGTGCATGCTATGGACGTTGGATTTGTGTTTGGTGCACCTTTCAAGAACATACAAGACCCATTTGTAAATATGATGGCGATGAAGTACTCGGAGATAGAAAAGGGGCTGAGCCTTTATATCATGAAACTGTGGACGGACTTTGCCAAATATGGGTAAGAACGTAATTTGAGTTTGATTTATAATTCGAAGTATTTATGAGGTGGTGGATATGGCGTCGGAGCCCAGACCCACCGATCCGTGGATGTTCACTGTCTTCGTGAAGTGCTCTTCTTTCGCCGCCTTTCTGTATCAAAGTAACACTAGTTTTAGCCAATGGGTCGGCGTGTTGAATTTTGGTAGCTCGAGGGAAGTCGCTTATCAGAGGCAGGATGGATGCTTACCTGACCAGATGGAGTAATTATTATATTCCTTTGACCTAAGATCTCTCTTGTGGGAAGCGCGGTGGCCTGTTGCTGTTGTTGTTTAATAACCTTTTAAGCTTTGTGATGTTACTTAACTCCTTCTCTCAGGTCACCAAATCCACCAGAATCTGGTCCTTTGCCAGTCACGTGGCCTAAGTTTACAGAACAGGAGCAGGAATATCTCGTCCTGGATGTGAAACCGAGAGTGGAGAGCAGGTACCAAGCCGAAAAAATTGCATTTTGGAACGAAGTTCTTCCTAAACTGGCCGAGGTTTTGCAAACGAAGAAAAAGAAAAATGGCGAGGAGACGCCAAAGGATGAGCTGTAAACACACACGAAAACGTTGCAGTGGAATTCCCTTTATTTGCACCTATATTTACATTTTATATCTATCTTTTACATTGAATGAGTAAACCTTCTTTCTCTCTCCAGGTCCCTTTCCCTTACCAACGTTTTTTCTTGACCGCCGTGTAAGACATTAGGGAGCTTAAGTAACGACGACGTCGACGCCGAGGACAACGCCTAGTAAAAAATGAATTTATATTTTACCAGCGAAATTCGCTATTGTCTCGATCTGTTTGGTGCGCCAATGGCTCTAAAAATGTGCTCAAGCTAAATATGCAATGACAGCGTTCAATAACAAATGGAAATACGAAAAATTAGCCGTCGTCGTCCACGTTCAGTAGACGACGCAGAATTTGGTCATTTGACGTTGTTATTTTGCAGAGGACGGCAAAGAAATGTGCAAAGATTTATAACGCACATGCACAGCTATTGTTTTGCTCATTAAACC